GTGTCCTCCCTCCTCGCCGTGTCCTCCTCCCCGCTGTCCTCCCTACCTGCTGTCCTCCCTCCCCGCTGTGTCCTCCCTTCCCCCAGTGTCCCCTCTTCCTGCTGTGTCTGCTCCTCTTTCCCTGCCGGGTCTGCCCTGCTCTCTGTCAAGACAGTAACGACAAACGTTTCTGGAGCAATTGTTAGTTCAGGACTGAAGCTTCGCTTGCACTGTCACATTCCTTCCTTGTCAGGGAAACTGTTGATGTCTCCGTTTAACAGATGAGGAAACTGAGGTTCCAAGAGGCGGGCTCACTTTAGGGACATCAGGGAGCTGGGCTAGGGTGTGGGCCTTGGATTATTCTCACCTGCTGTTCAACAGAGAGGCCATGGGTCAGATTGCCAGCCTCCAGTTAGCCACTGAATGCTTGACCACTGTACCACCAGGGCCCCTTCTGCTGAGAACAGAGACCACAGTAAATGCACTGCTGTCCGGTCAGTCCTGAGCCACAGCAGCCCTACGGGGCGGAGCAGAAGCGCCCTATGCGCTCCTGACGCCGCACACTGCAGCGGCAGGCCACACCCTTCTCCCAGGAAGCGGCTGCTAGACTCTCGGGTGGGAAGCCACGTGCTTTTTGCCTCTGCCTCACTCGGGCTACCTGGGACCTATGGCACAGTGGCAGAGGCAAGGCGGAAGCTGGGGTCTTTTGTAGGTCCTCCAGACGGGTTTGCTGGCTTTAAGATGTCATCGGCATCCCAAGCTGCTTTTCATCTTTCTTTGTTGTTTTCCCGTTCTTACTGAGAGGCTTCCCTTTCCCAAGGCTGCCTCTTGGTTGCAATACAGCTGCTGCAGGTTCGGCCATTACACCTACATCCCAAGCAGAAAGAAAACAGGGAAGGGAAAAAAACTGCTTCACTGCTGAATCAGCCGCTTTGAAAAGTCTTTTCCAGCCAGTGACTTCTTCCTACATCTCACAGGACATTGTTTTGCCAGGGAGAGCTGGAAGTATCACTCGAGCTAGCCACATTGCCACTTCAGATACGAGTTTTGTCCTGAGTTTAAAGGGAGAACGGACGTGATTAGCAGTGTCTGTGTCCTGATCGCAGTTGTCCCTGGCCCAGGACTGTGTCGCTTGTGTTGTCTTCGTCACCAGCAAACGCCGTTGTGCCTGGTGGACAAGGGATGTGGTGCTACTGTACAGCTGGCCACTGGAGGGCAGCAAAGTACATGCTTAGCTGGATGCCCGGGCCCTGGGACCCACAGGCCTTCAAGTTGGACCCAGGTCCTGGGAGACCCTCTCCACGGAGATGCGTCAGGCATGTGTCTGGGGCCCTGGGCCCTCGGCTTGAGTTCAAACACTCCTTGGGGTTGGCCTTCGTGTTGCTGCGAAGCTCATGGTTTTGAAGGCTTGAGGCGGGCAGTTTGGGGGCACCTCTCCATCAGCATGACCTTCCTGGGGGTCTCTTTTCAAACACACATGCTGAGCAGCAGTGAGCTCAAGGTCCTGTCTCCCCTCCTGCAAAGGGTCATTTCCGTCTGTCCTTGCACGAGCCCTGAGCCTCTACCTGCACGGTCAGCGGTCAGGCTCCCTGACCTCTCCACAGCACACGGACATGGCAGTCGACTTCGGCAACCACTCCCCACCTTGGAAAGTCTGTGCACAGGCCCGCTGTCCTCTGGGGTCCCAGTGCGTCCAAAGCTGGGGATGGCCCCAAGTTAGAGCCATACAGACCTTTCCACACCTCTCTGCCTGACCCCCACTCCAGTGAACCCAGTCGAGGAGAGTCTTGCCGTGCAGTTAAGCAGAAACCTAGGTAGGACCCTCAGAAAGGACACTGACTTAGCTGTGTGACTGGGAGGAAAGGACTCAGCTCCTCTGAGCCTCTATTTTCTCATCTGTAAAATGGGGATAGTACTAAGTACCTGAAGGAGCCCTGATGGTACAAGGGTTAAGTACTCTGCTGTTAGCCAAAAGGTCAGGAGTTCAAACCCGGGAGAGAAAGCTGATGAGTTGTTCTCTGGCTTCCGCCACTTCACAGGAGCCGACTCCCAGCTGAGCCTCCAGCGGAAATTGCCCGTCTTTCTCCTAGGAGCTGCTGGTGGATGCAAATAAGCGGAGGGGTGCAGCCTGGGGGTCAGGGTGCAGCCCCTGGGGGCCAGGCCCCCAACCGCCTAGGAACCCCGCAGGGCAGTCCAGCTCTGTCCTGTAGGTCACCCTGCGTCAGAGCCCGCTTGATGACATACGACAGAAGTCGTGGGTGCCCACGTCTTAGAGCTGGGGACGTTGAACTACGGCAGGGCGGGCAGCACACGGCAGCTTTACGTGTTGTTGACCTCCTGTAATACCCGACCTTGATCAAAAGCACGAACCCAGTGCATGGAGTCGAGTTTGACTCCTAACGACCCTCCATCAGGTCTCTGAGGCTAGAAATCTTTGCATGAGGGGACTGTCCATCTTTCACCCTCAGAGCAGCTGGTGGACTTGAACTTCTGGCCGTTGGGTTTGGAGCCTGACATGTAATACACTATGCCTCCAGTATTGGTCAATGAGTTGCCACCCTCAGGCACATTTATGCATAGAGATGCTCTATACGGGGTTCCCTTTCTTCTCTGACCTCAGTCTTCCTCCTCTGGAGAATGGGGCGACGGTCAGGGTGAACTGAGACCATGTACACAGAGCGCTGGGACATGGTGGGAGTTGGACACACAGTGGGAGCTAGTTCAGGCATGTCAGGCTGACCATGCAACCTTTAAAATAAATGAGGTGATTTTTTTAAAGTCTGTGACTTTCAGTGCCTCATTAGAGCGGTAGGCCCCTGTTGCCTGCCACGTGAAGAATGTCTAGCCCTGGGAACGGAACCTTCCAGAACCAGCAGGAGGAAGCCGCCCGCTGTGGCAGTTACAGTCTCCGCTCTAGTTCTGGCTCTGATCTCCCGGGGAGGTGCTCCCGAGTCCCGGTCACTCACTGCAGATGGGTTGACCTTACTGGTTATGAGTGTTGAGAGCCACACATTGGGTCCCGCACCCCTCAGAGGCTTGAGGCTCAGCCCCCCTCTCCACGCATCCATGCCGGGGCCTCACTGACCGTGGTGGGGACGGGCTGTCCCGCAGGAGAAGCTGAAGAAGACCACGGAGGAGGCGGACCAGTATGAGAAGAGCGCGAAGGAAGTTGCCCAGATCCTGGACCACCTCAAGGTGGCGGTGGACTGTCTGTTCAAGAAGATCAAGTGTGACGCCTCCAAGATCCTGGGCCAGCTTGGGGAGACGGGCCAGGTCACCAATGCCAACCTCCCGCAGTACTTTGGTGAGTCAGGCTGGAGGCCAGCGCCAGGGGGACCAGTGCCTGAGGGCCAATCTTTGGGGGCCAGTGTCTGGGGGCCAGCGCCCGAGGGCCAGTGCCCAAGAGGCCAGTGCCAAGGGGCCAGCACCTGGAGGCCAGCACTATGAGATCAGTGCCCTGCGGGCCAGTGCCTGGGGATCAGTGCCCAATGGCCAGTGTCTGGGGGCCAGTTCCCGAGGGCCAGTGCCCAGAGGCCAGTGCCAAGCGGCCAGCACCCATGGGTCAGTGCCAGGAGGCCAGCACCAGAGCTTTGGGGTCGGTGTGGGGCCTGGTGCCGAAGCACGTGGCATCGAGCCCACTGTCGTCTGGTCGGCTCCAGTCGTGGAGACCCTTGGCCAGATATCCTCATGGCTGGATCCTGGCTCTCTTCCGGGCACTGGGCAGGGAGAATGGACTCTGGTGGTCTGGCCCATGGGGATTGTGGCTACACTCGGGTGGTTCAAATCCACCGTCAGGACTCAGGAGACAGATGGGCTCTTCCCGCCCATGAGACTGGCAGCCTCGGAAGGCCGCCGAGGGTCAGCTGGGAGTCGGTTCCCCTCTCAGGCGGTGTTGTGGTGCCTGGATGGTGACCGAGGTGGGACTGGCCGCTTGTGCCCTCCTGCCCTCCAGCAGGGGCCTGGAGTCTTGGCTGCTGCCCTGGCCGCTACCCTGGCCTTGCTTCTGTCCCTCCAGCCATCATTGAGAAGAAGACCAACGAGCTGCTGCTGCTAGAGGCCCACAGACGCCTCCTGGACATGCAGGCCCTGGCGGGCGAGGCCCCGCCCGCCTTTGCCAACCCGTTCTGGGGGGCTGCTGCCCTCCTCAGGACTGCAGAAGCCATCAAAGTGACACCCCCGGCCCTGCCGCTGGACACCCTGGGCGAGAAACTGGATGAGAGTGAGTGTCCTCGTGCTGGCGGTGTCCCCTCTACCCGGGCCCTCGCTGACCCTCCCCGGGCTCTGGGGCCCATCTTAGAGGTGGTCACTTGAGGTGCCTCCTGGGGAGACTTCTGTCCCCAGCATGTGACTGGGACCCAGCGCAGGTCCTAAACGTTTATCCTGGGCTTCATGAGGCTCGACGCCCCTTCCCGCTGCCCTTGGCCATCTAGCGGACGGAGTGACATGGCCGGGAGGTTCCCAAGGCAGCAGGTCTCTCCCGCAGGGCAGCTCCTGGCTGACGTTTCAGTCACCGTTCGCAATGCCTGGTCCATGTGCCACCACGGTTTAGTGTCCAGTTTTTATCAACATTGATGAGTGACAAGTCCAATCTGCAGCTCTCACCCTCACCCTTGCATATCCCCAGGTGCTTGGGCCCTGGTGGCACAGTGGTTTGAGTGTCCAGCTGCTAATTAAAAGGTGGGCTCCCCTGGAGACCCCTCTGGGCCTGTGTCCCCACAGAGAGCAGCCGCGGGCCAGGGCAGCTGGTCCTGCAGGAGTGCGGAGTTAGTGAGAACACTGCAGGGACTCTGTCCTGGATGGGCGGGGACTCTGTCTTGGATGGGCGGGGACTCTGTCTTGGATGGGCGGGGACTCTGTCCTGGATGGGCGGGGACTCTGTCTTGGATGGGCGGGGATTCTGTCTTGGATGGGCGGGGACTCTGTCCGGATGGGCGGGGACTCTCCCCGAATGGGCGGGGACTCTCCCCGAATGGGCGGGGACTCTGCCCTGAATGGGCGGGGACTCGGCCCTGAATGGGTGGGGACTCTGCCCTGATTGAACGGGGACACTGTCCTGCATGGGTAGGACTCTGCCCTGCATGGAGCTGGGAGGGTCTGGAGAGGCAGCGTCCCGGTTCGATTCCATTCTCTCCTTGCCTCTTCCTGCATCCACTGCAGTGGAGCGACCGCTGGACCACAAGAGCCTGCAGCAGCTGGTCCTGGATGGCAGCAAAGCCAAGGACGCGCGGCCTGCAGTCCCCAACAATGCGGCCGACAAGGGGGAGCTGAAGAAGAAGGGCTAGCCGGGCCTGAGCGCTGAACGCGGCACAGTAAATGCTTGTCCTCAGCTCGGTGCCTCTGCGCTGTCTGTCCTGGGAGATCTGAGGAGCAGCTGGGGGCTGGGGGACTGGCGGGAGGAAGCAGGAGGATCGTGCTGCAGGGGGTGCAGGTGCTAAGACCCCAGAAATTAGCCCACACAGGCCATGCCCAATGCCCAGGACGCGGGGTGGGGATGGGGGCTCACCCAGCGAGACATGGTGTGTGGCAAGCACTTACAAGCAGGGGACAGAGGCGAAAGTGGCCACCCCTCCGCGTGTCAGTCAAGGACAGGTCAGCGACCTGCCTCTTACTTGCCCCTTCTCTGCAGACCCCTCCATCTCTCGCCCCTTCCCTCTCACCCACCCCATTTAGAACCACATTGGGCTGTTCTTATCCAGCCAGGGGGGCTGTTTGCAAACAAACTGGGTCCCTCCTGGGGTAGGAAACTCGGATGGAGTGGGGCCTGGACGCCATGAGCCTGTTAGACAAATGGGTGCCCTGGGGGGGGGGTCTGTAAGCACCATCATGTATCTGCATGTCCCTTGGCCTGTGTCCGTGTTACTGTGTGTATAATATCCCTTGGCACCTGTGTGTACCCTGACCATGTAGGTCTACCTGGATGGGCATGCCACTGCACAGTGGCGTGGAGGGGTCACTCTTGGAATCCCATACATTGTGCACCTGACCAGTTACTCAGGTCTGGCCACTCAGCCCAGGGTGGCAGGCTCTGGGTCTGGGGTGTCTGAGGAACTGGAGGCTGAGGGATGTGGGTCATTGTGGGCCCTTGCACTGGCCCCACCCCAAACCCCAGCTCATTGCTGGCCCTTCCCTGTGAACTGGACCCGAGCTCCCAGGGAGGCGGGGGCTGTTAATGTCCTGCAGGATGAAGGCAGGCTCCAATTCTGACTCCTAAGACACACCCCCCCCAGGCCCTCTGCTTCCCTGGTGACCTCAGTGGCCTCTCCCAGATCCCAGGCAGCCTGCCATGCTTGGTCCTGGTGGCAACTCTGGGAGCTTGGGCACCTGATACCTATTCCTCTTCCTCCTTTACCAACGGCACTGCCACTGGCTTTCCCTTTGGGACCTGTCCCTCCTGCTTCGAGACCATGAGGTGGCTGAGGGGAGGAGCATTCACCCTAGCATGAGGGTCAGTCATGGGACCCAGATCTGCCAATCTGAGCACTGCACCTGCCAAGCCATAGTGACGGCTCGGGGCGGTTCACCAGCCCCACAGCCGCCACCCATGGCCTATCCTGGAATGTTAATGAATTTGGAGAAAGAGACGTGTATTTTTTTCCACTGGTGTTTTGAGCAGACAACAGATAGGAGCTGGAACTGCTCAGAACCACTTTGCTGCTGTTGAGAAATGGGAGAGAGAGCACAGGGGGAGGCCCTACATCTGCTGGCATTGTTTGAGCCCCTGGATCCAGCTCTGCCTGAAGCCCCTGGATTATTAGTGTGAACCAATTTATTTATTAAAATGGACTCCTTGCAACCAAAAATAGACTGAATGCATCAGTGATGACTCTGGACACTCAAACTGGTCATGTCCAGCCCAGTTCCAAGACTCAAGCCCCAGTCAGTAATCACGGCCCACTCCTCTCCCAGCTGGCCAGGTTAAACATAAAAGACAACTTCTACTTTACCTGAAATTAGAAATTGATCTCTTATAACTGATGAACATGACTTTTGAAAAGACTTAGGCTTTGCATGCATGTGGGAGGTCCTCTCCACTTACCACGGGGCCAGCCTGAAGATCTCCGTGGGCTAGATGCCCATGGCATCTTAGAGTAAGAACATCCAGGAAATGTGGCCCTATGCGTGGTTGAGTCCTTTGGAAGGAAGGGCTATGCCATCCAAGTAACATTCCAGTAAAACGTAGCCCTTGAAAGAAACAGTCCTGAAGCTGCCAGGGGCTCTAACATATAAAGAGTCATGAAGATCCAATGACAATGTTAACAGAGCACTGACAGCTCTTATGTTGCCTCTGCGTGAGTGAGCAAAGGTCTCCCTTCAGATGCTTCTATGGGTCAGAGAAATGTCAAAGCAAATACACAACTTGTTTATTTGGCACCAGATGGATTTCTGTCTGACCAAATGGCACGTATCAGCCATAGGGTTCTAAAGAAGGTGGAGGTGGATAAGGAGGCAGCGACAGAGCTAATGGGCTGGGCAGGGGTGGTGCTGCTGCTGGGCAGGTGAGTGGTGGGCCAGGGCCTGGGTCCCCCGGGCTGAGCGAGGGTCAGGAGCCAGCCCTCAGTCCTTCTCCTCCCCGTGGGTGATGATGTGCACTAGGTTCTTGTAGTCCAGGTTGCCCGTCACGTCAGGGGGGAATGCAGCAAACATCTGGTCAATCTGGAAACAGTCACATGCTGTGCGGAGGACGAGGAGGACAGGGAGGCTGGACAGAGGACGAGGAGGACGGAGGCAGGACAGAGGATGAGGGAGGAGAGGGAGGCCGCACAGAGGATGAGGAGGACAGGGAGGCTGGACGGGATGAGGGAGGGAGCTGGGTGGGATGGGAAGGCTGCGTGTGGACAGGCAGGAGCACAGAGGCAGCTGCGCTCTGGACACCGATGTGCGCCACCCAGACCCTCCGCCAGGGCCTGCTGCTCAGCGGCTGGAGTTGTTGCACTCATGGTTACCTCCTTCCTGGCAGCCTGTGGCCACTCACTGGCCTGTGCAAAGGTCTAAAGGCCTGGTCATCTTGGGGCCATCCTCACTCCAGGGCTCCCTGTGCCCTTCCTCCCACAGCAGGGTATCCCCTGCTATTTCCAGACAGACGTCCTGTGGGTACGCACAGGGACCCCAGCCTGTGGTCTCGCCAGAGATCAAAAGTTCCAGTGTCCACGGGGGCCCCAGGGGGAGGGGGGGAGGTGGTGATGTAAGCCAGGAGGGCTGTGGGGGACTGTGGTTAAATGGGGACACACGCTCTGTCTGCAGGGGCGTCCCTGCTCCCTGGTAGGTGGCCTTGTGGCCTGGCAGGTCCCCTCAAGGAGGTCTGACCAGACATCTGGGTTTCTTTTTATGTGTAATTTTTTATTATACTGAGAGGTGCTAACACATTGTCCTTATTATGTTAGTGATTTAAACTTTAAAAAGCGTCAGCTAAAACCTCACTGTCAGTCAATGCCAGTTCTCTGTGACCCTCGACCCCGGGGCTCCCCGGGGCTCCACGTCGTTCTTACGCAGCCACTGCCCTTTCTTCTGCGGAGTGCCTGGTGGGTCACAGCTGCTGACCTCTCAGTGAGCTGCCAGCGTGTGACCACGGAGCCCAGGGCCCTGGGCTTTACACGCACTCAGCCCGCACACCGAAGGCCGTCTCAGCACCTCTGACAGCCGAGGAGACTGAGGCACGCTGGGCTCTGGAGCCCGGCCTCACACCACTGCTGAGTGCTGGACGCAGCTCGCTGAGCTCAGGCGGCTTCGTTTTGTTGAAAAGGATGACATTTTTAGTAAGATGTGGGAGCTGACAGGAACAGACCTGAGGTGCTGCTGGGTCCAGTACAACTCACGGTGACCCACGTGAACCCTGTCCTGTCCCGTCCTCAGCGTCTCTGGCACCTGAGCCCAGGCTGCGGTCCCTGCCTGCCCATCTCACCGAGGGGAGGCGGGGTAGCGGTTTTAAGATTAAAGGACGGTGGTGGCAAAGCTGTTTGCTTATATGGCATGTCTGGTGACTGACAAGTACCCTTTCTCCTAGATGGATTGCAGCCGCTGGCCAGAAAACGTCTGTCAGCTATACCTACTGCCAAGAAGCCAGTTCTGACTAACCGTGACCCGCCTGGGTTGAGGTTGTACATCTTTTTGGGAGGAGACTGCCTATTTCTTGCCCAAGGAGCTGCTGGTGGACTTGGACTGTTGGCCCTTTTGGTTGGCAACCCAACGGGCTGCCCACATCACCATGAGGCTTCCCGGCTAACAAGGCGCTTCCCTGCCACGCGCTGGGCAGCCACTGATACCACTGTGCTTCCAGGCGGGACAGTGCACAGTGGCCCTGCGTGTGCCCCTCCTCGGACACTGAGGCCCCCACGCACCTTCCTTGGACACCGGGCCCCCACACGCGCCCTCTCTTGAACCCAGGGCCCCCACGCACCCTCCCTCGGACAGGAGACTGGTGCTTTTGCTGGGTCTCCCGAGATCCTCAGGGATTGTGGGGAGGCTGTCCCTGGCCTGACATGGACTTGAGGTTGAAATTTCAGAAAAGAAGAAATGCTGGCGCCACCTCAGGTGACCATAAAGGGGAGGATGGAGCTGCTCCCCAGTGTTTCAAAGGCTGGAACTTTCTGGAAGCAGACTGACACCCTTCCCCCGAGAGACTGTGGTTCCCACCACCAGCCTGGTTAGCAGCTTCTCCACTTCCCACTGGGGCTCCTCGGGCTTGGACCTGGGCTCCAAGGTTTGCATCACTGCCCTGCACCTGCCTGTCCTGGCCTCGCAGGTGGTGGAAGGGATGACAGGAGGGAAAGGGCAGCAAGCGGCTGCCGACACGGTGTGCGCAGGGCCCTTACCTCCTCCTTGGAAAACCTCTCCGCCTGGGTGGTCAGCATCTCCTGGATGCTGCAGAGACAGGAGAGCGGGTGCTGGCAGCAGGCATGGGTGGGGGAGCAGTGCCCGCCCTCCCCGCAGACCCCCACTCACTAGTCAGCCTTCAGCACCCCTTTGCCTTCTGGGTCAAACACCTTGAACGCGTTGAGGATGGTCTCCTCGGGGTCCGCCCCTGGAATGGAAGACAGGACTCAGATGTGCCGTGGTGCTGGGGATCCGGCACCCCAGAGCCAGAGCTTGAACCCCCAAAGTCGAGGGTCTGAGGAGGTGGAGCACGGAGCCCCAGGATTCTGAGAGGGGCAGCTAGTCCCTGGAGGGAGGGGGAAGGTGGAGAAAAGTGGTTTCTGGCTGCACTCGAGTTCAAAGGTGCGTTTAGATCCACGCAGGAGGCTCTGGTACTTGCTAGCTGTGTGACCTCTGACCTTTCGTTTCTTTGCCCAAGAGACAAAATCCCCTGGTCCGTGGATTCTGACTCCCAGCGATGCCACAGTTGTTCTGAGGCCGTGACAAGCCTCATCGTAATCCTCTGCAGTGATGGGCAGCCTCAAACTGCCAACCTTTCAGTTAGAAGCCACGTTCTTAACCACTGTGCCACCAAGGCTCCCCTCTCATCCAAAGACTCCACCTCACGGGCTGTAAACGTGGGGAGAGCCCGCCCGCTCATCGGGTCAGACCCAGGGCAGCTGGAGTCTACCCGCCGAGGCTGCTCTTAACCACGATTTCCCAACTGGGCCTTTTGTTTCCTCAGAAGATCCTCATCCAACCACCATCTGTTCAGGTGCTTCGGCTTACGGCAAAGATGGACACACAGAAACACACAGACGCTTACCCTTCAGTTTCTCCCCAAACATGGTCAGGAAGACTGTGAAGTTGATTGGCCCAGGGGCCTCCTTGATCATTTCATCAATTTCTTCATTCTTCACGTTCACACGCCCTAAAGCAGGACACATGTACTTCAGATGGGGGGAGAGGTGGCTGGGGGACCCCTGTATAGGGGACAGTTGAGCCCAGTGTTAGCTGAGCTGTGGCCATGGAAAGCTACGAGGCCTTGAGCTTGTCAGATGGTCCCCCGCCCACCTCGCCTGTCCCTCGTGGGGACGTGGGATAAGCCTGTGGAGGGGACGCACCCAGAGCGGCGAAGGTGTCCCTCAGGTCATTCTTGTCGATGAAGCCATCCCTGTTCTGGTCCATGATGGTGAAGGCCTGTGGGACGACATGGTGACTGGTCAACTGGGATGAGTTGGCAGGGAGATGTGGGGGTTAGACCGAGGCCCGGGGAGAGCGAGAGCCCGCAGGACAGTCCATCAGTGAGGAAACAGCCCAGAGCCTCACCCCATTTCTACACAGCACGGCAGCCCCCCCGAGCCCACTCCTGCCACTGCGCTGATGCAGACGCGTGCCAACCCCACTGCACTCAGAAGAACTGCTCTGTGTGGATTTCAAGGTGGGACCGTTCCGAAGCAGGGCATGGCTTCTGAGGTGCCTCGGAAGGGATTCGAACCACCAACCTTTCTGCTAGTAGTTGAGTGCTTGGCTAATAGTGTCACCAAGCACTGAAAAGACGTGTTGGGAAAACATCCTGTCAGGGACCGCTCCAAAGTGCTAATGAGCAATGAGGTCAGTTTTTAAAAAAGATGAAGGTGCATCTGACCCAAGCCATGGTGCTTTCAGCCGCTCCCTCCGCTTCTGCAATTTGGACAGTGAATAAGGAAGACAAAAGGAGGACTGATGCCTTTGAACTGTGGCGTTGCCAAGGAGACGGACTCACCCAGGATGGCAAAGGGAGACTTGGAGGAGAGAGGACGGTGAGGGCTGTCTCTCATACTTGGGCATGTTGTCAGCAGGCAGACCACGGGTATGCACAGAAACCTGTCTGTGAATGTCCACAGCGGCATTACGGCCAACCGTCCAAACCAGAACCCCCGGGTACCTATCACTGATGGGAATCAGCCCATCAATGGACGAGAACTCAGCCTAACCCAGGAACGATGTTTTGCCATCCACACACCACGGATGAACCCTGATGACAGCATAGAGTAAGAGCAGCTGGACACAGTGGGTCCTGGATTGCACGCGTCCGCCTACACGGAAGGTCCAGAGTGAGGAAATCCAGAACCACAAAGTGGGTGTCTGCCTTGGGGCTGGAAGCACAGTGAGTAACGCAGTCGGAAACCACCGCGCGTGATGGCGTGAGTGCTGACAGTTGTGGGGTATCTGCAGTAGATTGTGGTTGGTTGCAAAGCTGTGGCAATGCCAAAGCCAGCTGCTGTGCCAAAACCAGGGTGAAACTGTAAGTGAAGTACTGTGCTTTACCGCTGTTACCAAGTGGCTCTGGTGGTGCAGACAGTAGCCAGAAGGGCGGCAGTTCAGAACGACCCGGTGGTCCGAGGGAGAGGACTGTCAACATTCCCATGAGGGGTGCAGCTCACGGGGAGCCAGAATGGACCGGGGTGCCCATCAACAGAACTCGCTCATGTTCACTGCCTTGAGCCCATGCCAGCTCAGCGTGGACAGCAAGGTGAGGTGACAGCTCTTCCTTCCGCGAGCCGCTGGTGGACCTGAACTGCTGTAGACGGCTGGCCTCTGAGGTATCAGCATAACCTGCTACAGGCGCCCCCACCAGAGCTCTCTTACAACATCACAAAGCCTGTTGTTAATAGGGAGAGGCAAAGCCTGGGGTCTCCTCTCCCCTTGCCCAACTCCCAAGCCAGGGCTCCTTGAGAAGTGGGGCCAGCAGCTCCCCTCACTGGGCTCTGTGCTCCAATGGGGACCCTAAGAACTTGATGTCCACGCACTTGCCAAATGCATTCTCATCTCATACTTTTGGGGTTTTTTTTGGCAGGTGGCCCCTGAAAGTACGTGCATCCCCCTGCCCAGTCTCCAGGAGTGGATGCCCCCAGGGGGTGGAGCAGGCTAGGGAGAAGGGCTTTCTCTGCATAGTGGCTATTTCAGGTTCAGATGTGACATTTCCCCCTAGGAATGCCTCTCTGCCCCAGGGCTCATGGGACGTGACATTCCTGTGATCTGAACGTTGATGGGGACAGAAGCCCCAGTGTTCCTGTGTCATCTGGAAGCCCCCAGTGTGTCTCTAGGTTTCTGCCGTCCCTGCATGGAGCAGCGAGCCTGCGGAGATCCTTGTAACGCTCACACCAGGCTGTTCCTCCCAGGGTGGTGGTCCGAGGGCCGCTCAGCAGGGCATCACCGCAGGGCCACTGAGGAGGCGGCTCTGGAGGCTGGGAACTCTAGCGGAGGGCTCCCACCCCTGCCTCTGAGTCAGCTCCACACCGCCCGTGTGCACTGAGGATCAACCGCCAAGTTGCTGACACTACGTCACACAGAAGGACACTCAGCACCTCTGGCCCAGGAAGCCACTGGTGGATTCGGATGCCAGGGTTTGAGAGGTGCAGCCTCGCCCCTAGAGCTCCCTCCTTCTAAAACAGCTTGAGCACATTCACCCCTGAAGGGCCAGGTGGGAGTGTGGAGTGATACTCCACGTGAACCTTTAAGGTTGCTGGACAATGAATGCATCAGGCTGTTAACCAAAAAGTTGGCAGTTCAAACCCACCAGCTGCTCTGCTGGAGAAAGAAGTGGCAGTCCGCGTGTAGGAAGATCTGCAGTCGTGCAAATGCTATGATTGTCCTAGAGCGGAAATGTTAGTCGGAATCGATGGAAATGGGTACGTCCTAACTGGTGGTCATCAGCTGAATCTAGTTTTTAGGTTTTCTCAGTAAGACAGTCCCATCTGGACGAGGACTTCAAACAGGGTTCAGGCCCAGTGAACACAGACATTTCAAAAGTCAAGTGACTCTTTTCACGTATTGGCAAAGCATTAAAAAATACTACGCAGCATTGTAGAGCGACTGATGAGGGTGGCAGATCTCTCCTTCGGGGCTGATGGAAGCAGTCTAGCGACTGTTAATATGCATGGCTGCTAACCAGAAAGGTGGGAGTTTGAATCCACACAGAGGCACACAGGAAGGCAGGCCTGGTGACCCACTTCCAGATAATTCTAGGTACTGAAAGCCATACGGGGCACAGCACTAGCTGGGTACGCCGGGGGCTGCCTTTGGGGGTCTGCTCCCCGGGGGGATTCTCACCCGGGAAGGTCCCAACAAAGCCACGCACCTCCTTAAACTCCTGGATCTGGGTCTGTTCGAACATGGAGAACACGTTGGAGTTGGCGCCCTCCGCGCGCTTCTTGGCCTTCTTGGGAGACTGGGGGAGAGTGAAGGGAAGTGAGATGGGGCAGGGCCTCGGCCGCACATCTGTGCAATGGGGCTGCAGTTTCTGCCCTCACACCCCGAGCCAGGGCGCTGGAGGGAGAAGGGACCCGGGACAACGTCCACAGAGCCCCTGGCCCACGGGTCTGAAAGGCCTGTGGGTCCAGCCGGGGCTCCTCTTCCAGTGAGGAAGTGGTGGCCTGAGACCGTGTCTCCTCCGGCACAGAGGTCACACAGTGGGTCGGCCCGGCCCGGCCAGCAGCCTTCTCCTGAGCTTTGTACACAAAGGCAAGAAGAGCTCAGTAACGCATCCAAGGAGCACTGATTCAGGGCTCCCTGGGCCGGGCCGTGTAGATGCGGGGTGAAAGGACACCTTCCAGGGAGTTCAAAGTCCAAGCCCTGCTCTGTCACTGCTTTGATCCAAACGCAGGGAACCTCCTCTGCACCCCACACGCTGTGCAGGGAACAACGAGGGGCGTCTCCATCCCCTGCCTCTCTGTCATAATGGCTCCTAAAGCATGAGCCGCAGTGTTCTGAGCTCTGTACAGAGGTCACTTTGTCTGACCCCCACACCTGCCCCGTCACGTAGAAGCTGGCGCTCCTCCTTTGTTTTCAGCAGTAGCAGCTGAGGCTCAGAGAGGCTGAGTCCCTAACTTGAGGACACACAGCCTTGAAGAGGCCGATTCCAGAGGGCTACCTTGGCGGCAGTGAAGGACACGAACTCTACCACGGTCGCCTGAGGAAGAGGAGGGGCAGCCAGCATGCGCCTAGGGTGCTCAAGGATGCTCAGGCGTGGTCTCACGGACCCTGGACACGTCGGGAAGGACCAGTCCTGGGGGAAGGACTTGGTGCTTCATGAAGGAGAGTATATGTGCAGAGAGGAAGACCCCCAGTGAGGTGGACTGGCCCAGCGGGCACAACGTGCTCATGGTCAGCAGAGATGGTGAGGTGGGCAGGGTGCGGGGGGACAGCCAGGGGTTCATTCTGGTGGACGTGGGGTCCTGTAAGTCGATGCTGACTTGATGGCCCCCAGCAACAACAATCTGAGTTGGGGCCCCCAACTGCCTTCTCATGTGGATTCTGAACTGAGGGCTTTGCCTGCTGGTGGAAGGGGGCACACACACCACCACAGGGAAGGGAGAGGTTCAAATCTGCACGTTCGAAAGGTGAGCACAAAGGGTGGTCCTTGCCAGCTGCTGGAAGGAGGACAGAGACCCACAATGGGATCCTGGAAGGCTCAGCCCCACCTGTCACCCCGGGAGTGCTGAACCTCGCAGGTCTGCAGGAAGCAAGCCAGCTCGCTCATTAGCTTGCTGCTGGAGTCCCTGGGGCTGCGGCTGTCTGTGGGCCACTAACTGGGGTTCCCTGGGTGCCCACAGCTTCCTGCACTTTTCTAGGAGGGTCTCCCCCTCCCCCGGGCCCTTTCTCTGTCCCCTTCCCATGCCCTGCCTGTAGTGGGCATGTGGGGAGCCCAGCACCACTCCCATGGACTCCTTACTACTTACCATGACAGCGAGGACAGTGACAGAGTGGACCCAGGCCTCTTCCCTGAAAGAATTCCCCAGCTGCGGGGCTCTGCAGCCCGGGAACAATAAATACTTCCGCTGGGGGTTAAAAATAACCCCATGACCACTTTTGGCAGTAATAGGTGAGGCCGACTCCACCTAGGGCCCCCGCCCCCACCCCATGCCATTCTTCTGAAATAACGGCGGCTCACTTGTCGCTGGGGGACACGTGAGACCCACACAGGCACTCAAGGTTAAAGAGGCGGCCGGCGGGTCCCCGAGACGTGCGGCAGGCTTGGTGCAGCCAGCGCTGGGGCAGAGCCACACGTGTGCCTGTCAGTTTCCAGACACCAGACGGCAGTGGAGGAGGATGCCTGTGTCCATGGGCCTGCTCAAGCCCAGGGACGACCCCAGGGCCTCTGCATGGGCAGCGCCCACGGCTGGGAACACCTCCAGCTGACTCCTGCAGAGCCCCCTCCTGGCCTCTACGTCTCTGCTCAAATACCACCTTCTTGTCCCTCTGCACATAAAGTGGCCTCTCACTCCCTGCCCACCGCGCTTCCACCCTGGCTTTACTTTCCTTCACAGGGAGCTCTGGTGGCCCAGTGGGTATTCAAAGGCCGGAGGTTCGAATCCATCATCTGTGTCTCGGAAGAAAGACAGGCATTCTCCTCGCACGTGATTTCAGGCCTCTGGAAACCCGCTGGAGGGTGAGCTGTGTGTCAGTTCCGACTCTGTAGTGATGGGTTGGAGTCTGTGCTGTAGGAGTTATCCCTGGACACATAGTTCAGTGAGTGCTGGACTGCTAATCGAAAGATGAGTGGTTCAAATCCAACATCCGTCAGGCATTCTGGGGAGGAAGATGAGCAGTCTCCTTTCGTCACGACGTACAGCCTCTGACCCTCAGAAGCTGGAGGGTCACCACGGACCAGAATCCATAGCCCTGGACTGGTTTCTTGTTTTGTTTTAAACACATTGTTATGAGCTGGGGTCAGTCACTGGAACGACTTCACGCTTGGCAAAGGGATAGTCAGCAAAGAGGAGGAATGCCCTCGGGCAGGTGGGCTGGAACCCAGTCAGTGACCATGACAACGGGCTGCTGTGTTGTACATGGGGTTTCTGGAAGTCAGACCGACTCCCCAGCGTCCAGAGGCACTGCTCACCACAGCCTGTAGGCCAGAGAGCCGCTCTGCGGGACTCCCAAGGCTGTCGGTCTCTGCAGAAACAGACGGCCTCATTGTCCTCTTGAGAAGGGGCTAGTGGATTCGAACCACCAATGTTACGGTTAGCAGTCCAGTGCTTATCACCCAGTGCTACGAGGGTCTTGTGAGTGGGCATCAACGTGGTGGCAGTGGGCTTGACTATTGTCAGGTTTCTCCAGAGACCGGACCAGTAAGATGGCTGGGTAGCTGGACCTTTACGTATGTTGTGCCCATTATACACTCTGCTGCTAATGAAAAGGTTGTTTGTTCAAGTCCCCCAAAGGGGCTCAGAGGAAAGGCCTGCGATTTATTTTAGAAACAAACCTGTCACTGAAACCCTGTGGAACACAGGTCAGCTGACGTGCTGGGGTCCCTCAGAGCTGGAACCCATTTGATGGCAGCTGCTGGTGGTTCCCGGTGGACCAGAACCAGCCACGAGCCTCTCAACACACAACATTCATAACAGAGGTGTTTCACAAAAAAGAAAAGGGAGTCTTGTGCTCATGCACACCCATCCACTCGTTAGCCACATGAACGCACAGAGGGAGGACAGTGCAGGGGAGGAAGACCCCAGATGAGGTGGACAGAGTCAGCGAGACTGGCTCAGGACAAGGCAGGCTTCAGTGCTGCTGTACATAGAGCTGTTATGAGTCACAGGCAACAATAAGCCGTACATTGCTATCGTTACTTTTAAAGTCCAAGTTATCAGTTCCCTCTATACAACAAACAAAGTCCCAAGAGGAGTCAGAGACACATGGAAAGGCCTTTCCGGGGTGTCCAGATGAGCCCCGTAGTCCAGCACGTTCACCAAGAGGCCAACGGTGGACTCCACCAGCTGCTCTGAGATGCGTGGTGGTCAGATTCCGTCAGGCCTCACGAGCTTGTCCTGGAAGTGACTCGGTGGCAGGGGCTCTGATGGGGCGCAATCAGATCAGCTTGCCAAGTGGTTATGGATGAGACAGGGCGCTCCCCGCCAAAAGATGTCCTGATGCGCCTGGGCATGCGACCTTGTTTGGAAAGAGGGTCACTGAAGACGCCACTGGACACGGTCCCCACGTTGGTGACGCCCACCTAGGCGCACACACTTAGTCGCACTCTTCCAACGCAGAGATCTCTCGCTCTCACACACACACAGCCGCCCGGGGTTTCCCACTCCACATGGTCCCGTGGTGCCTGGGACACCTCTTCGTGGTTGAGGGAGCCCTTCCAACCATGGCTCAGCGATGTGGCCCACAAAGAACGACGTCAGGGCCCAAGCCAAGCAGGAGTGCCAACACCAAAAATGGCCAACTCTTTTTGGGGAGAAAGGATTAAGTATGTTTCCTGAAGACAGGTGGGCTGTCCTCAGTTTCATTTGATAGGAGACTGAGCTTTGTCTCAGGGTGTTAAAGGTCTTAATCCAGCCCTGGCTGGGAGCTTTTTGACAAATCATTTTCTCTTTGTGCATGCATCCCTTTTTAGCATCTGGAGTTCAAGTCTCTCTTCAGTTCTGCTGCATTATCTCCTCTAGGGGAGTGTGGAGGAGGCCATGGTGTCCCCACTGCTCTGTGAAGGGCGGTGGGATGGCATGGGAAGGAAGTGGGAACCACACACAACCTGAAGGATGCCTTCAATGTGCCACCGAGCTGCAGTGGAGAAACTGCCCAGTTGGTGTCCTGTCCTCCTGTGTCCACTCGCACAATAACAAGAATGAAAACAAAATAAAAGGCCACTTGGTGGATCGCATGAGGCCGTATGGTTATATCAGTAGATGAAAAGATTTAATACACAGAGCAGAACCTTCTGGGTCACTTATTACTAGATGGACTTAACTGGTGTTTCTGGTCAACTCCCTGGGCGCTGTGTCCCTACGAGGCGGGCGGTGAAGTCAGCTGTCTCTCAACAGAACAGAGACCCACCAGGCCCTGCCAGCTCCAAGCTGGTGGCTGATGGGTGCTGTCACCAGGCGATACTGTTATCTCCTCGTGTCAGGGCCCCTGGGTATCAGCCAGAGCCGATGGTGGGGGCAGGGACTCCTCCACCAAGTGGCTCAAAAAGTCACTGCTGGGCGCACAGGATTTGCTCCCCGCAGGGACGGGCCAGCAGCATCCTTTGCATGCAGGGGCCTACATGGGCAGCCGCAGCAGGTCTCTGGGCCTCAGTTTCCTTGTCTGCAAACAGGCACAGTAGCAGTCCTGACGTCAAGGCTCCTTGTGAGGCCTGAAAGAGTTTGCTCATTCTGGTAAAGTGTTAGGACACTGTTGGGCAGAGCCAGTGCTCGACAAATACTGTCCCCAGAACTTCGCCAGGTTCAGCCTTGTAGCAGCTCCATGGGGAAAAAAAAGGCTCCCCGCTTCTGTCAAGGCTCACGGTCTCAGAACCCGCAGTGCATGCAGCCCTGGGTGGTACTGTTCTGACTGCAGGGTCACTGGGGGCCAGGGCCGACCTGTGGCCGTGAGTCTGGCTTGTTTAGGATTATTCCAGGGTCCTGGCAGGACATCGTGAGCAGAAGAAAGAAAAGATCAAATGACAAGTGTGGACATCAGTTGACTTTGTCCCCGCTTCCTCTTCCCAACCCTTCCACTGCCATTTCTGCCCCTCTCTGGAGGTGTCCACCCCAGAAGGTATCCCTCACGTCCTGTCCAGTTACGGCTGGTGATGGCAGCTTCCATCTAGTTCTGTCCTTCCCTCCTTTGGTAATCTGCCTCCACCCTCTCCACCCCAACACTCACACCTGATTCCAGCCAGGACCTGCACAAGCTGTAGACCCTTCAATGGCTCTCCATGACTTCAGGTCAAATATCCCTTTCTGACTAGACACGTAAGGTTTGTTATCGTTTGACCTTGATCTACCTGATTGGGTGGTGGTGTGTGCCATCGAGTTGCTTGCCATTCCTACCGGTCCTACGCCCAGTAACTCCAATCCCTGCCATATCTTGAGCCATCCTCACTGACTACAACACATTTACTCCCATTACCCCAGTTACTCTGTCGATTCATCCGGGGTTTCCTCTCCTGCGCCACCCCTCCACCTTTCCAGGCATGATGTCCTTCCCTGAAGACTGGTCCCTCCTCGCCATGTGCTCAAAGTATGTGAGACAGAGCTTCAGAATCCTTGCCTTTAAGGAGAAACTTGGTTTCACCCTTTCCAAGAAAGACTTGTTCTCTTGGTGGTCCATGGTATGTTCAAGACTCTTCTCCGGCAGAACTCAAAGGCATCAATAATTCTTCTGTTATCCTTAGTCATTGTCCAGCTCTCTGATGCATAGCAAGTAATTGTGAAAACCATGGTCTGGATCAGGAGCACCTTAGTCTCTAGACTGGCATCATTGCTCTTTAGCACTTTGGAGAAGTCCCTGGCAGCAGATTTCCTTAGTACAATTCGTCTTTGGATTTCCTGACTGCTGGTGCCAAGTGTGTGGATTCTGAAATTGTTAACAACCTCAATCTCTTCTCCATCTACCATGGTGCTGCCAACTGGTCCAGTGGTGGGAATCCCTGTCTTCTGGTTGTTAAGCTTCAATCCATCTTGAAGATTGTTGAAGCATCTAAATTGGTGAAATGCTTAAAAGCTGGGTTTCAGATCAACTCCTTTGCGTCCTGGAATTGGGATCCTGGGTAAGTGATGTAACCACCCTAAACTTCCAATTCCTCAGTTGACAAGTGAGGGATGCGCTAGTGGGGGTTGTTGAGTAATGTAAGAGCCGCCCTGATGCTGCTCAGTGATGACGTGGCTAGGTGCCATGACTTAGTTCCTACTCAGTAGACCCAGCCGGTGCCCAGGCCGTGCCCCCTTTCCACCACTGCTCCGTCTGAGCCCGTGGGTGGAGCCACGGTGCCAAGTGGCAGTCCCTCTCACGGGGGTCTTCCTCTTTCGCCAGCCCTCCACTTTTCCAAGCCTGATGTCTCTCTCCAGGGACTGGTCTCTTCTGATAACATGCCCAAGATGGATGGGGCAGCCTGTCCCCCCCCCCCCCGCTTCTGAGGCTCACTCTGGCTGCATTTCCAGAAGAGCTCAGTTCAATCCCTGGAGGTCCATCGTGTATTCCTCCCCAGCACCACGATTCGGAGGCCCTCGTACTCACTGCTCAGCTCTCATGGCACACACAGCAAGTGAAACACCTCCGCTTGGGCCAGGCGCACCTCAGCCCTCAAACATCTCTGCTTTCTTACATACAACACTCTCATGACATCTTTTGCAGCAGATCTGCCCTACACAGTATGTCATTTGAATTCTCGACTGTGCGTCCATGGGCATTGACTGTGGATGCAGTAAAACAGAATCTTCAGCAGATTCCATTGTGTCTCCGTCTTCTGATGGAGGTGTATGGCTGATGCCACATGCCAGCTGTTAGCATTTGCTGTGCGTTCCTTCTGTGCCAGGTACTGTACCAAGCGCTGTCCCTGTGGGAACTCACTTTAGGCGAGTGAAAGTCCTGGCACAGAGCACGCGTGTCATTTGGGTTCCTTTCATGTCCCTCTCCAGCCCCACCCCTGCTCCCCAGGCCTCTCCCGCCAGCACTGAGGGTGCAGAGCTCGAGGACACGAGCCTTTCTGGAGTTGCTGGCTGCCTTCACAGAGGTCTCTTTGGGGAGGAAGCTGCCTGATGGATGTGGGAGCTCAGGGCCACCGTCTCAGGGGGAAGTCAAGATCGACTGACTGAAGACAATGCCCAAGGCAATGCTCTACGCCTTCTCTGGTGAGCAGTAACTGGGGTCTTAAAAGCTTGTGAGTGGTCATCAAGATGCAACTACTGGTTTCTCCCTAAGTGAAGATCAAAGCAGCATGGAAACAGTCCAGGGGACTAGTGGACTGTGTGGAACCCAGCCTCCACTCTGAGACCAGGAGGACTGGACGGTGTCCGGCTGGCACTGCTGGCCACGCCAGAAAGGGTCACAACAGGAGTTCTGTACAGAATGGGAGAAAAATGTGCAACAACATTAACAATAGTTAAAAAAAAATCACGTTCATGAGCCTTATAGAAACTGGTGAGACCCCACAAACTCTAGCCTTTAGCCCCACTTTAACACTTTAGTTCTCACGGCTCAACTTTTAGT